CACTACAGAAGTAGATTGCCCCATCTTCCTTCCGAGGAGCGGCTGGTGGGTTTGAACCGCCAGCCTTCTGGTTAGCAGTCAAGTGCCTTAGGCACCATTAATATCATAGAAGTTAAGATTTATAACACATAGAATAATTAGATCACAAAATGGAGGACAATTGCATAATACTAAGAATCATGGCCCAGCCAAATTGACACATATTTTGGGGGACACAATTCATTGATGACAGGCTTTTGATACCAATTGCCAGACACGTGTGTGTGTGTGTGTGAGAGAGAGATTTGGATGGAAATTTACAGAGCAAATTCATTTGCCATACAGGCTCATACACATTTTGTTTCATGATAATGACTACAATCCCCATAATGTAACAGCTCTCTTCCCACTTCTTCCCTCTGGTTACCCTTTCCCTGTGCCCTTTCCTATGTATTTCTGCTCTCTCCCTGTGCAAATACTGCCTTTCTGATCTCCCATGGTTGATTGTTCTGAGTGTACCTACCCGTTGTAAATGTTCACCTTACATGCCTGTCTATTGTTTGGCTGGAAGCCATGGGAGTGAGTTCAATTCCAGGCCTGAAGGGTCACTATGGGCCATAGTCTCGAGGGTTTCATCAATCTCTATCAGAACAGTAAACCTTGTCTTTTTTCCAAATACATAATTCTGAGTTTTATTCTACATCTTTCTCCTACTTTATCCAGGATCTCATATTTTGATCCCTTTTCAAGTGGTTGACAGTGGTAGTCTGAAACCATCTAGTTCTTCTTGTCTCAGGGTCATGTAGGCTGAGGTTTGCATGGTCCCTTAAACTAATTGTTTCCATGCATCTTTGGTTTTCTTAATTCTTTGTTTGGGATAAAGAGAGACCAATGGTTGCATTTTATATGGCCACATGTAAGCTTTTAAGACCTCAGTCGCTACTTACCAAAGTAGGGAGTAGAACAGTGTTTTTGTGTAGTATGTTACACCAATTGAGCTTGATGTCTCTGTGACCATAAGCCCAAGGCCATGGACCCAGTGAGTAACTCCCTCAGGGTATTTGGCTGTGGCTAAGAAGTTATAACTTTGCCCCATTAGCTCTATTATATATATGTGTATATATACACACACATATACACATACATATATATATATACACATATATACACATACATACATATACATACACACACACATATATATATACATATAAATCTTACAGCACATACAAATTCATGAAATGTCATCTCCCAAAGTTATATATGGTCATGAGTATATTCCCTTTGGCCTAGGCATACTTGATCACTTAGTCTCTCTACCTGTGTATCCAACTGTAGATTACTGTTTGTTATTACTAAAAATACAATATTGTGTATGTAGAACTGTGTGTCTTTGTTGTGCCAGACTCTCCTAAAGGAATATACAGTCTAGCCCTCCTATATCGTATGTTTCAACCAGAAATGATTCTAAGTGTCTTTTACCAAACTCTCAGCAGCATTCAGAACAAAAGGGTACAAAATTAAAATTTTTAAATTATATAGGTGAAAATTATCTCACTACTACTTTAATCTTAGGGGTAATCAAAGAAATAGAAATTGAACACTTTCCAAGGTAGCCATTAGATAAATAGCATTTTATTCCTGTAAACAGTGTTATACCTGTTTGTCTACTTGGTTTTAGTACGTGTTTTTTGTTCCTAAGAACTTGTTCGTAGCAAAGGTGCTTTACTATTTGTAAATGGTACTGCTTACTATTTTCTCCCTGTATTTGTCACTTCTTTCAGTTGATTTATTTTCACCAATTTTTTCAGAGGGTGTTTTTTTTTTTAAATTCTTGAGGTAAATGATTGAGACACTTTTTCATTACTTTCTACCTTAGTTTGCTATTTGT